AACTACTGACTGTTTAATCCATAGAAATTCTCCTCAGGGAAAAGACTCTATGACTAGTGTCTATTCAATTTGTGTTACTTAAGGAATAGAGCACTCATAACAACAAGCAAAACTGATTGTCAACTTCAGTAGAATGCTTCCAGAAAATGAGCTCTGTCCTTATCACCAAAACAACTGATGACTTAAGTATAGCCTAGTAATAAAGTAGTCATTCTACCCAATAATCAGAATTGAAAAAAGAAAATAATGAAATTAGTAAAAATTTCACTCAAAGCAGTTGATTCAACAGTTTTATTTAGATAGATGACTTGGTAATCTTGGTTTGCCCTAATAGGAACACATTTTACTTTAGACAAAATGAGAGAATAAAAGGTGAAAATGAATCCTCAGAGCCAGGTATACTTCAAAGTGGCTGAATCTTGTTACAATGAATTTCTGGAGGGTATATAAATTATTTTGTAGAGTAGTTATGAAGCAGTATATTAAATATTATTTTAAATAGGCCTTTGGTGCTTAGAAATTTTAATAGCTTTTCTAAATAGAAAATGTGTGATAATTTCCTTGTAAAAGAACTTGATCTAGATCTCTAATTTTTACAATTTCATTATGTATTGCTAATTTGACTTTTTGCTTTTGAAATGTGAACACAGAGAATGAAGGAAACCTTTATAGCCATTTGCATTGAAAGACAAATAATGTATGATCTCACTGATATGTAGAATCTGAAAAAGTTGATCTCACAGATACCGCAGAAAGGTGGTTACCAGAGGGTAGGGAGTAGATGGATGGATAGGGAAGGGCAAGATGTTGATCAAAGGGTACAAAGTCCCAGCTAGACTGGAGGAATAAGTTTTAATGATCTATTGCACAATGTGGTGACAACAGTTAATAATAATGTATTGTATTTTTCAAAATTGCTGAAAGAATAGATTTTTAACATTCTCACTACAAAAAAATGATAAGTGGATGAGGAAATGGATATGTTAATTAACTTGATGGAATCTTTCTATAATGTATACATAGATTGAAACATCACAATGGACCCCACAAATATACACAATTACTATTTGTCAATTAAAAAGAAATAATTTTTAAAAATTGATTTTTAATTTTGGTTGTTGATTTTCAATTGATTCACTGATGGCCTGTTATATGATCAAAAACTCAGTTATGATTTCCTCAGCAATTCATGCTAAGGGAATCATTTTTGTTTCAATCTCATTCAATATCTTTAATATACTCTTTATATAGAGTGATAATACATCTTTTTCTTCCTATCTTTTCAATTTTGGTTTCAGATAGAATAATAAATTATTCAAAGTGGTCAATATAGTGGCTGGTTTGTAAAGTGAATACACAGTTTATCTGCAGTTCCTGAGGCTTGAAACTTTCTAATATACTTCCTCAACACCACTAGTTAATGAAGAAGAAAGTATTTAATAGATCTAAGTCTAAGAAAAATGCTTGAAAGGCTTAAAAATATCACCATACTTTTTTACCTTTACTATATCAACTAATTCTCTTGAAAAATAATATCTTTTATAAACATGCTAGGTGCAAAAAAGATGGAAGTAAAAGATATAGTCCATTCTCAAGAAACATATTAGACTGATGCGTAGCATATGATATAACATGGTGTGATACAATATGATTTAGCGCAATAACTAGTCTGATAGAGACATGACCAAGATATAATCAGTGCCCAGAAGAAGAGCACTTAACCCTGATGTTAGAAGTAGAAAATTATCTAGGGAAGGTTGCTTTTTATTTGTTTGTTTTCCATGAAATCTGAGCTGAATCTTGAAGAAGAAGTTGAATAAAGCCAGATAGACACAGTGGAAGAGATTTTATTTAAGGCCTAAAGGTATGAAACTATAGGATACACCCAGGGAACCACAAATAATTTAATTTTTGGAGGAAACATATCTAGAAGCTGTAGCAAGTAAGACCAAATTGATTGCAAAATCCAGATTATGAAGAGCCATCTCTGCTGAGCTAAGGATATTATTTTATCCAGAAAATTACATGAAGCCATCAAAGAGTTTTAGGGGGGGTAATATGAATAGATGTTCATTTGGGGGAATGCACTATGGCAGCAGTGTGCAGCGTGGTGCAAAATTGTATTATGAGCAACAGGAAAATTAGAAGAGGGCTCTTTGTGATAATCTAGATTGAAATAAACTAGCAACATATTGAGAGAAGAGCAGGGGGTAGATCTGAGATATTTATGGAAACTGCGCATCAAGACTTAATAAGAAACTAGAGATTGAAGGGAAACTGGGGGATAACAAGGATTATAGCCAGATTTCTGTCTTGGGAGACTGGATGTGAGTGCTATTGCTTTATATTGCTTGAAATCACACTCTTTTTGCCTCTAAAACTACCCCTTCATCCATTTATTCCTTTAATATCACAGTCCCTTTGCCACCATTAATGAGCAACTGGAAAGATGAAGTACCATGAACTACTTTACCCCATTCCAGCTAAATATATGTTTATAACAAACATCTCACTAGTTCTTACATTGAGGGACCTTCCATTTTCCTGTCATTCTTAAATAAAATAAACAGTTTCTACTGATAGAAAACTCCACCATTGACAAATTGGGTTTTATGGACCTATCACAGTAAAAAGATTTATTAAGGCATAATAATTGATATAATAGAACATTGAGATATTAAAATATGTTGTACATTTTTTTGGAAACTTCAAATAAACAGATACCCATATAACTGACTAAACTTTTCCTTCTTTATTCAGAAAACTGAAAATCTATGACAAAATTTCAGTATGGATTAGACATATATAACTGATATAATTTACAGACGTTGACTATTTCACGCATATATTAGATCTCCAGGGCTGTGTACCAACAAAAATTATAGTGCTTGGTGCACATATGTATTTATCAAAAACAACTGGATTAACATGCTTTTCTCACATTACACGCAAAACCTGTAAATAGGGACACAGCTGGTAAGTAGCTTGGTCATTGGAATTTCCATTCTGAAAAAAAAAAAAAAATTCTCACTCATTTTCACTCCTTGCCTCCAACCAAGTAGATTTGGATTTTACCCTTAGACTATGACATCTTACATCTAAAAACTAAAATGTAAATGTTTGGGTGGCATTATTCATCCACTCATTTAAAAATGCATTTGAACTTGTATTTATAGTGGTGTACAAATATAAATATCATGAAGCAAGAATAAACACTCTGTCTTAAAACGTTTCATTCCAAGAGTCTGTGGAAACCTTTAGAAGCGGGCAATAGAAATATCACACTGCCTGATTTAATGTATGATCTACCCTTAAAGGAGTGGGCAGACCAGAAAATCTGTACTTTTCTTTAGAGGTCAACTTCATCTAGGAGCAGGACAAGGTGTGAAACTGAAAGTGAATTATCAAAGTAATGCGTTTAACAGTGGAATGTGAATTAGTGCAATTTGGATTATTTTCCCCTCTGTTCACAGAGCCTTCAGAACTACCAAAAAATCATAATAGAATTACCTTCAAAAATAAAGGTGATCTTCATTCAATGGCATTTCAGAGTTTTGATTCCCGTGATTCCAAGGTGTTATATGGGTTGCAAATGCCAAAAGTAGTTTTACCATAATAGACTATGGCCCCAGTAGAAAATGAACTAATCTTCTAACAGTTTAGATCCTATTGTGTTCGGCATTTCTGCCAAACTTGAAAAGAAGTATGTACCTTGAGAAGTCAATGTTGACTTTAACAACAACAACAACAAAATAAATAAATAATGCAATTGTTGAATACAATTGAGTAAAACATGCAAAGTATAGTATTTTTTTTTTATAAAGCAAAGGAGTTAATACATCTAGGTCATTTATCACTGGTTTTACTAACTTTTTTTTAATCCGACAAAGAATATGAGTATTTTCATAGTGAAAGAAAGAAGCAATTGGTAACTGTTTAAAGAGACTTACTTGTTGAAGGCTTACCTTTTTAAAAATTAATTTTCTATTGGGTGAATTTCTTTAAATCCATCATTTTACTAAAGGTAGAATTTTAGAATTTAGTTTTCTACATTTTTTGGCAGTATAAGTGGGGTGATAGAATAAGAATAGAAATATAAACTACTATATTTAGTAAACATCTTTTGAAAATGTTACTTCTTTTTCAGAATAAACATTCTTATTAAAGAGTTATAACATGAAATTGTAGGGGAGGAATTACAGTGGTATAGAGAGAGGAGTTATAAGAGTTACAGAAGTTAGTAATACGTATAGCTTTATTGGCCTAAAATGACTGCCTAGTTTTGAGAAACAACTTACTTTTATTTGATTTGAATGGAGTATCAGGGATGAGAAACAAATAAACCTATTTGGCTAGAAGGACAGACAGAAGTATAAATTAATATACTCAGAGACTGAATAATGAAAACCATTTCTACCACGGCAGCACTCTTTTCCAAAGGATTTAGGAGTGCTTATAATGACCATTTTTACTTGAAAACCCCTTTATCTACATGGCAGGAACTTAGCTCAAATAAGTAGAACATTTATGTATCTTAACATCTGTCAAATTATTAATATTTTAATGCAGAATCATCATTTGTTGGTAAAGAATAAAAGAAATAAAGAAGTAAAATAAAATATGTGTTCATCATATAATCTGAAATAAGGAAATTTACTCTCATTGGGAATTTTTTGAAATTTCCTAATTACTACTATCAAATCCAAGAATAAAATATTCTTGAAACTTATTAAAGGTCATGCAAGTCATTCAGTCCAATAGACCAGATATGCAAAAGATTAAGAATGGTCTATATTTTTCCCCTAAGAAGTAAATATTTTAACATGGCTCTAAAACCTTTCTCTGACTGATAAATATAATATAGGTAAGAATTGAGCTCCAAGTATTTTAATAACTTTACAAATATATTGAGGCTGGAGACATATTTACTACTCTATAGTTTAGCCAATCTTTCACATATTTCAATCACGGTTGTGACATTAGATGTATAGCACTCTCAGTTTGAAGTATAAAAAGGCAAATGTTGGATTATAGAGTCTCCAAATGCAGTGTACCATATTGGTCTCACATTATGTGCTCCTAAGGGATTCCTGGTCTTCCCACCATTTATAGAATTAGTTGTCAAACTTGGTTGTACATTAAATCACCTGCTGTACTGTTATTTTCTGTTTTTCCGCCTCCCTTGCATTTTTCATCCTTCTCTACCCTGCTTTGTGTCCCCCCAAAGGATGACTTCTACACACTACACTCTCTGGGTTCCCCTAGGCTTTGGCCAATCGGAGGCATAGACAAAAGACAAGTGGAAGGGAGGAGAGAGGTCAGGGTATTTTTTTTTTTTTTGCATGAATTTTTTCCCGTTTTGGAATCACATCTCTGGCAGTAGTTTTGTCCCACTGTGACTATAGCTCCTGCCAGGAGGCCTAATGGGTTCCAGATGTTACTAATTTCTGTCCACCTTCTCCTTAACACTAGGCCTGTTGCATTTACCTTGCTCATGCTTTTGCATTTAGTGCCTTAAAGAACGTTTTCATTTGAATCACAGGCTGGGACTAAAAAATCTAGAGAGATTAAAAAAAAAAAAAAAATACCAGTGCCCAGATCTTACTCCCAATCAGTAGAATTGAAACCTTGGGTGTGGGGCCCAAGCTTTCTAAAAGTTCCTCCTGCTAAATTATGAAGTCCAAACACTTTATATTATCATTCAAGGCTGCGTGCAATCCAATGCCACCCAATCTTTTCAGCCAAACAGATATTGCAGGGACAAAAGTCTCTCAGAGCAAAATTTGGCTACTTAATTTTTTTGCCAATAGGTTAATTTAAAGAAACATGAAATATAAACAAGTATTGATAAATATAATGCAAAGTGGACCCACTACTTACTTGCTGAACAAAGGTTCTCAAGAGGGGCGATAACCTGAATCAGGAAGAATATTGAGACAAAGGCTTCTGGAAAGATGTGTTTTAGAGTTAATGAAATATATTAAAAAGGAGAAATCTTTCAAGGTATCACATACTTCTTAGATCTCTCTCATACTCTAAAAATGCAAATAACATCAAAACACCACTTACATAATTTTTCAGTCAGGTATTTGTCTCTTATGATTTGATCCGTAGCTAAGCAGTCACACACTTGACTGTTTCAGATTCTCTCACTGGTGTTGATCACTATTGGTTTAAGTGCCAACATCCTGAGAAATGGGCCAGTAAGTCAGTAGCCAGATCGAAAGGAAGACTTGCCAGCATTCTTCAACTACACAGGGACTGGTGTGTCTGCGGTGAACCGTGAATGCCTGGGGGTTAATGCCTCCAGCTAGACACAGAGCTTGGTTTCTAGGCTTTTTCAAGTCTTGATTGTCTGGCAGACGACTTCTTCTCCCTGTCTGTCATAAAGACCTGTTTTGACTTCTCTGATCTCAGCTGGGAACCTACTGTTAACTGCTATTGGGAAGTGGTTTTAAATCAGCAGGTCAACCAAAGCTTTTGAAGAAAGAGCCATTTATTCAATAGTCAGAACACCAACCCCCAGCAACCAGAACAGCATAAATTTCATACCTGGAGCTGTTCATTAAAATAGGCGTTTACTGGATGTGGTCTTTAGTTGACTCAGTAGCATCACTGGTAAAATGAAATGATAAATGTGCATCTATGGCCATTGTATAATTTATTTATTCCAAACCTATATACAAACCTGCTTCAGGATTGAATGTTTGATTGCAATTTGTTCTGGCCCCACTGTCTCTAACAGTGTTTGGTTTCAGGTGATGACAGCTGTGAGTAATTTACCTGGAGCCCACCAATTAATATAACCTTTGGCTTTTATCACTCACAAATAGAACAAATCTTGGCTGAAGAGCTCTGTTATTTTCGTTTCAAAGCCTAGAAAGAGAAGTGAATGTATGTCAGTTTTAGTTGTAGTATTTTACCAGAACTAAATTATTCTATTTAATGAGCTATTTTCTAGGAAGGTCAGTTCTTGCACAGAGGAAAACAAGATGGTAACGTTTGATTAAATAGGCCCAAAATTCTTAACCTTAACCCATTTGGTCAAATGTAAGAATGTAAAACACTTCTCAGGAAAAGAGTTGTTTTGATTCATAAAAATCTTTCCTTCATCATGAAACTTGTAGCTTTATATCTATTGCAACATGACTTATACTTTTTGACTTATCGGGACATAATGATGTTTTATCATTAGTCCCCAGTGGTAAATTGGCCAGTGACGCAGAAGTGACTAAAACATTCTCTGATGGCTGGTTTTCCTGGCTGTAGCCAGATGTGAAGAAAACTGCATCCTCTAGCCAATCAGTTCCAAGGTCCAAACTATTTAGTGTTTATATAAGGATGTGTCCTGTGGAAAGATACTTCTTCATGCTAGACCTACTGTTTAATACACATGTAGATTACAAAACCATGTAAATGAGCAGTGAAAAACTAAAAGAGCCCTTCTCAGTCAGTCAGAATGTATGTTTATACTACAATCAAGAAACTAGAGCTGCCTCAGAATGAAACACGATCTCGGCAGGTATTGTGGGCCTTGGAAGGCGTCGCGTGACTATGTCATTGAAAACCGTATAATTTTTTTTTCACTCTTTAAATCCTTTAACAACAACAAAAAAATGACTTTTGGCAAAAAGAAAGAAGAGTATGTCTTCTAAACACTAAAAAATTCTCTCAGAGGTCTTTCCAAGATGTTTTGGATGGCTCTCTGCCTCTCACTCTCTGGCAGCCCGCTGTTCCATCAGTGTTTGCTGAAGGTCAATAAACCCCGCGCAGGCCGGTGCTGGGGAGTGCATGTGTGAGAAAACCTGCTGTTGTTGCGGTAAATGCAGTGTCCACAAATTCATTAGGAATGCATTTGTTCCTGGAAGTGCTAGCTATTCCGGTAACTGGCTGCCGCCAATGTTTTTAACCATATTCTCTACTTTTATGCAGACGTTACAGGGCAGAAAACCAGTCTTCTGTTCTCACTGCCTGCATCAATTTGTAGTTTGTTACTTGATCGGCTCATTTTACCTTTCGTCTAGTGTAAAAGGGCAGTCTGGGACGCTGCAGTTATGTCTGGGGCCTCCTTATTAGACTTTATGATGAAAGGAGCTCTCTGGGTTAAAGGAAACTCTGAATCTACTTATTTGGCTCTAAAGAAAATAACAGGCATCGAGAAGAGCTGAAAAATTATAGGCAGTGTGAAAATTGAAGGAAAATAACTTCTACCTTCTAGATTTTTCTCATGTACAAAACAACAGAAAAAAATTATATTTTGTGATTCCACTAAAATGTTAACAATTATTTTATTGAGGATTCTTTCTTTCTTTTTCTCTTTGAAAAACAAATGAGAAAAATGTCCCAATTTTTTTCTGAGCAACACTTTTTGTAAGCTAGCCCTTCTGAATGTCAATAATACTAATAGACTTGGAATTTATAAGGAGAAATTGTAAAAGGCAAAATGAAGTTTTCTGCTAAGACAGCCAGGATTTTATGAGCATAGGCACCAAGCAAAACACTGCTACATTTAACCTGTTCTGACCACCACGCTGAGAGGAGAAAACACTAAACAAAAATGGAATCACTGCCTTTTTCTCTGAAGATAACTGTGGTCTGGTTTTCTTGAAGGAATGTCACCTTAAGGGGGTGACAGCATTGAGCTTCCTGTGATAACAGTAGCTGACACATATGGCTTCAGCTTACTTGTAACTGGCATGTTAGAACTTGTGAGAAGTGCGAGGCCCTTCCATCACGAATGGAACACATCTGTCCAGGAAATACACTTCACTGTGCCAAAATGCTTTTAGTGTATCTGCCCCCTGAGTGCCCTATCAAGCTACAGTTCCCTGTCAGCAAGTACCTTGTAATTCCTTTCCTTTTATGTTGATGAAAGTCTTGATCTATTATGCCAATATTGCATACTTTCCAGTCTCCTAGAAACTATTACTCAGTAATGTGCGTAGAAGATCATGCTCCGTTCTTTAGACAACCAACCTCAGCAAAGAGCATCAGCCCTTGCAGAAAAAAAGTAGCTAGATAGTCAAACTTTTGATATGGCTCAATTTCCACTTTGGGGGAACAGAGAGTGGGGAGAAAAGACCGATGGTGAGAGTAGACACTAAGAAATAATGCACTGCCTTGAGCAGGAGCCAAAGGAATCAAACAGTAATATGACTTGCTTTGTTCTCCAGCCTCATGGGTTCTGATAGGATCCAATGAGTTAGGGTCAGGATGAGTCAGACCTGGAAGTCCCCCTAGTTCTACTTATAGTGCCAGTAGCAATAGAGCTTCAGAATGAAGCCTGGGAGCCTCCTCCCCAATTCTTGAGAAAATCATAGAAGCCCAGATGCTCTCTCTGTTTGAACTTACTCAGGCATTCTGATGTGTTATCATATTGACAGTCTTTCTGAAGAGCAAACTGAATTCTTTTTTTATTTTTTTGAGACAGAGTCTCACTCTATTGCCTGGACTAGAGTGCCGTGGCATCAGCCTACCTCACAGCAACCTCAAACTTGGGTTCAAGTGATCCTCCTGCCTCAGCCTCCCGAGAAGCTGGGACTACAGGCACGTGCCACCATGCCCAGCTAAATTTTTCTATATGTTTTTAGTTGTCCAGCTAATTTCTTTCTATTTTTTTTTTTTAGTAGAGATGAGGTCTTACTCTTGCTCAGGCTGGTCTCGAACTCCTGAGCTCAAACAATCTTCCCTCAGCCTCAGCCTCCTGAATTCTTAAATTCAGGAGTGTTTGGTTTAGCACAATCAGTGAAGACTCACAGGAAAGGGTCTCTGGTTAGAGCAACTCTAAACTCCACTGATGTTTACTGAGACCACAGTGTCAGACAAAATGAAGTAAATTCAGGAGGGTAGGAAGTTGAAAATCAGTTGGTTCCTTTTGCTGGTTTCTAGATAAATTGAAATGTCATTAGCTGTTTATTCAGAATATATGAATGTTTACCTCGTGGCAGTCCCTGTGTGGGGTGCTGAGATTACAGAACAAGTAATAACAAACACACTTGGTATGGCTTAATCTGTGCCAGGCAATGAGAATATTAACTCATTCCATCCTCACAACCTAAAGAGGAAAGTATTACTATTATGCCAGATTTACAGGTGAGGAATCTGATTCAGGGAGATTAAATATCTTGCTCCAAATGACAGAGCTTGTAGATGGCAGAGCAGTGACTTAAGCCAGGCAGGCTGGCTCCTAGTCCATAGCCCTAATCAGTGTGCTCTGACATTGCACCCATTAAACACAAACAGACACTGCTGGCAAAGTGATTACTATGGTCACAGGCCATTGATGACAAAGCCAAGAAGACAGTCCATCCACTTCTGAATCCCTGACAACTTGGGGTCAGGCCTCTGAGGCACTGGCAAGTGAGAGGTGAGAAATGTCCACCAGGCCTTCTACAGCCCAGGCTATGCTGGACAAAATCCATGGCTTTGAATGTGGCTTGTTAATTAATCTTTTGTTCTTAAACTATTCATCAAAAACAAAATAAAGCCACACATTGCAAATTCCCCAAATTGATATCTGTTCCTATATTTTATATTCAAAACCTACCCCAATGGAAGATGATATCTTTGAAGGTAGCACTAATATTTCATCAGCATAGTGTTTTTCTGCTAATAAGAAGCATGCTTTACTATAAAAATTCTCAACAGTTGCAAGAGTTTCAAGTCATGGTCCTCAGTGAATGTTTCTCAATGAATAATACACAGGATTTGCAATAGACCTTTTAGCCTCCATATCCCAGGCATCTTGAGAGCAGGCTAATAAATCCCAAGGCATAGGTATAATTCAGATTTTCAACTCCATATTCATATGATTGTTTAATATTTATTGACAAGCACTATTTGTTGGAGGCCCAAGTTGGCCAAACATTTAAAGTAATTCCCCCCAGCAGAAACTCCAGTTTATAAAAATAACTTGGCAAATAATTCGTAAGTGATGTTCTTAAGTAATCAGCATGCCATCTAAGGAAATGTTGAAGTTGGTGTGCTATTTTAGAGAAGGAGCATACAAAAGTTTCCAATACAATTTATTATGAGACAAAGTCGTAGGTGGAAAAATCCTGAATATTATTCTTCGGGTAGATATAAGAGATAGAAAAGCACTCCATTTAAAACATGTCACTGCAGGAGTGACTTAATTATCCATTTTGGCTTCTGAATCGTGTGTTCAAGCTTTGTAACCTTTTGGTTAAAAAAAAAAAAAATCTCCCATTTACTTTATAGGTTTGGGGCTGTTTTTAATGGCTGTTTTAAAGAAAGCCAAGTGAAAAATTGTCACTGTCTGTATCATAAAGAAAGACGTGGTCCATTTTCTTGTTGCTATGACTCCAATTCTTTTATCTATTTTATTCAATATGTATAAACAGATATTTGTCTAGACATGCAGTTATGTAATCTATAGCTACATTGACCAACCACTATATTCAAGGTACTATTTCAAGCATTGCAAGGTGAATAAGGTATAATTCCACACCTTAAGAAATGTATAGCTTAGTTAGAATATGAGATGTACATGAGTAACTTTTTAAAAGAAGTAGGTGACAGTTAACAGTTAATATGGTTAACTGTGTATTTAAAAAGTTCAAAGGGAGTGACCACATCTCTGTTGAGACACTGAAGTGCTTCATGGAGAGAGAGCCTCTGAGAAGGCTCTGGGTGACACATGGATAGCACTAGGCTTGAAAGTAGGTACCAGGATGGAGGAGAACAGACCGAGGTAGGTACACGAGAAAGAAGCACCCCAAACACCAACAATTAATCATGTCATCAGTAGGAAAAACAGTGAAGAGAGACCAAATTAACAGGAGTGTAGAGTGCCTTAAAAGGCCAAGGTGGAAAAGCAAAGTGAGGAGTTAGTTTGTGTTTCATCTCATCAGGTA